TCCTATGTAGTAATATAGCATTTTATAAATTTATATAATATCACCTAAAATTGCATTTATAAAACTCGTATTGGGTTGATATGCAGAAAGACAAAAACATTAGTCGACGTGGCTGGTAGCAACAAAGAAATGTGGATCGACCTTAACCTCCCATTGGTCCGAAATCTATCCACGACATCTCCCCAAGATTTCTCACTAGATTTCATTATTCCACATGGCTGCTTCCAATTAAAATCCTCCATATTATCTTCCTACCCGTAAAGCTGACTTTTCAGTTGCCATCTTCAAACAGAATTCATCTACCACTTAGCTAGAGAGGAAATATGGCCGCAACATACGTTGCTGTTCTAAATGGGTTGGTGGGATCCTCTTTCCTCTGTGGAGGCAATAGCAGCAATAGAGTACTTTTGGGGATTCCCACAGTCGCCAGGCCTGCCGTTGGGAGAAGGAGACCGGTGGTTGTGGCTGCTGCTGCTAAACCCAAAAAATCTTGGATTCCTGGCGTTAGAGGTGGTGGCAACTTCATTGACCCTGAATGGCTTGATGGCTCGTAAGTATCTCCTCCCTCATTTCTCTCTACATTTCCTAGCGAAAAGCATTATTGGTTTTCCTTTCAACTTCTCGAATTGTCTACAGTCTTTGGCTTGATTTTTAAATTAGCTTTCTGTAAGCAGTTAATGTATTTTTTTTATGCACTCTTTGACTTTTTCTGAAACATCTAAAAGTTTGTTTTAGGATTTTTCTAAGATATTGAGCTTTATTTAGAATGATTTGATACAAACCCAAACCAGAACAACACTTTTTTCACATAATATTACAACAGTTCTAAAAGTTTGCAGCATTATTCACAATTTTGGTGTTTCCTGTCTTAATAACCCCATTTTAACATAAACAAACAAATTTGCAGTCTTCCTGGAGACTACGGATTCGACCCACTAGGCCTAGGCAAGGATCCGGCTTTCCTAAAATGGTACAGAGAAGCAGAGCTGATCCACGGGCGGTGGGCCATGACAGCGGTGATCGGTATCTTTGTTGGACAAGCCTGGAGCGGGGTGCCCTGGTTTGAGGCAGGGGCTGATCCTGGTGCAATAGCTCCATTCTCCTTCGGTTCACTCCTGGGGACCCAGCTGCTCCTGATGGGATGGGTGGAGAGCAAGCGGTGGGTTGACTTTTTCAACCCGCAGTCTCAGTCGGTGGAATGGGCCACCCCTTGGTCCAAGACAGCAGAGAACTTCGCCAACGCCACCGGTGATCAGGGATATCCCGGAGGCAAATTCTTCGATCCCTTGTGCCTCGGAGGTACCATAAAGGATGGCGTCTATGTTCCCGATTATGAGAAGCTAGAGAGGCTCAAGCTTGCTGAGATCAAACATGCAAGAATTGCCATGTTGGCTATGTTAGTTTTCTACTTCGAGGCTGGCCAAGGGAAGACTCCACTCGGGGCTCTTGGGTTGTAAAGAAAAAGAGGCTTTCGAGTGTACATGTAATTTGGGTTTTAAGGGAGGAGAGTTTCACGAGGAAAAACTGCATGTATTGTGGTTTTGTTGAGATGTTTGATTGAGTTCCCCTCGGTGGTTCAAATTGATTCTCTCATGATGGTGTCTGCCGAGACAGTGCTTGAACATTGGTTAATTTACTAGTAATTTTTCTGTTGACAATAAATTTTATAATTGGAGTTTAAAGGAAACTACAATCGAATACGACTACATCAACTCAGGTAGCAAACACTTAAAGTGACAAAAGAACCACATGTACAGTAAAATCATAAGAGCATACCACAGCCGAAGATTAGACACAAACAAGCACAGTAAGAAATCAAATAGCAAAATATTCCCACTTTGCAGAACTGTACGTGAGATATTTTTCCCTCATATGGCTCGTCGTCCAATTCTTTTGAAGTCATTGTTGTTTGAGTACGCATTTGAATCTTGTAATGACAATTATATTATATGGTATTTGTTTACCATTTATATATATATTTATCATATATTAATTGTTAATTTTTTACATATATTAATATTAATAAAATTATTAGGATGGCTTCTGTATCAAAAAGAAAATAATAGCCATCACCATTAATGAAAATCATACATACAAGAATAATATTTTTAAATTATCCATTAATCATATATATTATTAAAATGGGATGTCGATAATATAAAAACTATCATATATGATGTTTTACTAGATGACAAGACTTCTCCCAAGACTTCTCACAAAACTATGTATTGCATATAAGGGACTCCAAATGAGTGAGTGCTATAAATTGACCAATCATAAGAACACTACAAACACGTATCATTAGTAACTTTTCAATTATAATACAAGTATAAGTGATTGTTTGACTTAAGAATCATCAATATTCTATGCGATAACTTGCACCTTGTGCTTCCTTAAAAATTTTCTAGTGGTCTCGCATGTGTGAATTCTGAATACGGGTATGACACTTACTTTGCTGAAATTAAGAAAGAAGGATTTTTCCAACAACTCTCTCCTTTCTCATGGTTGACCTCCTTGCAAATGATAGGAAGAATGCTAGTTTAAAATTAAAATCTACGCCTTCAGACGATTTGCAAGAGAGAAAGATGCCTTCCTACAAAATGGATTACTAAATCTGCCTTGGATAGCTCCAAGGACTTAAATACTATCGTGAATCAAAGTTAACAAGTCATAATTAAACTAAATAGCATGCAATTTAAAGCAAATTTGTGAGAGCAAGATGTACCCAAATTAAAATAAACATATTCAATGTTAAATTAAAATGCTATCTATTAACAGATCTAGAAATTAAACTATTACAGAATTAGAGATTTAACCCTAATTAATACTAAAATAAACATGAACAATGATTAAATTAACATGCTTGAAATTGAGAAAAAAACATGAACACCATATAAGTAATCATTTGATAAAACGCTACTTATCATAAATATTAAACTAATTATAGTCAGAAAAGGAATAGAACCTTGAAGAAATTCAAGAGCTTAAAGTTCATTACATGAAACAAAATTGCTAAAGCGAATACATGAACTAATTTGACTATTAGAATGATGAAAAACAACCCAAATCTAATGGAAATTATGTTGAAATCTGAAATCTGTAAGCTGTAAGCAATTGCAGTGAAAACGAAAGTCTAAAAATTTGAAGGTTTTGCATAAGGCTGGCTGCGTGTTCTCTCTTCCAAAATTTCTCTTTTGTTCTCCTTTTTCCAACTTTAACTCCCCACTTTCTGTAGTTTCAAAAGTTATGGACAGTTTCTTAATGTAGTGGGACACCTCAACCAATTGACAAGATCAAATTGCCTTCCAAATTTCACCACCTGTGCTCTTTATCTGATAACCCATACCCATAATTGAAACCTCCTCCTAAATTCCAATTAAAACAAACCCAATTTAACTCAGAAAGGTAATTAAAAGATAAAATCTTATCTTTTCACATTATTTCTTCCAAAGTGGCAACTAATCTGTCATGGGCCCAGAATTGCATATCTGACATAACAAAATATCTTCTATCTATTTAAAAATTTTTACACATGGTATGATTTTAAATTTTTGCAATTTATGGTGTAAACACCTTGATATTGCTAAAAATAACCACTAGATACAAGAGTTTGTAAGTAATACAATTTATTGGTGCACTATGAATCACATGATGTAATGGGTGAGTCAAGAAAGGATTTGCCCCTCTTGAGTTGACGAGGAAAGATATATCCCTTGATCCTTTGATTGAAATGAGAATACTTACAAGTTCATCGCTTTGGCAAGAATGGAAGGTTTCATTCAAGTAGTATGACTATCTTAAAAATCAAAAAAATATATGAAGCTTTGAGAATGATGGCACATAACATAGATCTTGCTTGATTAAGATATTAATAATGAAGGGATTAAATTACATATGTTTATATGTAATATCCCAAACATTTTCTTAGATTTTAAGGGACTAATATATAATTAAATGGTTAAAAGTCCAATTAAGGGTGGGTATAAATTATAGATTTAAGGATTTGTAAAGTTATTTGAAATTCAAATTAAAAATTAAATCAGGATTAATTTAGTGGATTAATTAGGTTTACATGACAATTATTGCCTTTGATTATTTCCCTTTACCATTTTTATCAACTAGTTTATTGAGCCTGTGCGTGGAACATTTTATTTATTTATATTATATGATTATTTTTAATATTGCTTTGAACAGACTCGACAGTCAAACCGGTACCAACACCTAAGGGCTTAAATGGTTTGAGTAAATATTCAAAACCATTTAAGTTGTTAAACCGTTCAAAACCATCAAAATCGTTTGAACCAGCATTAACCAATAAACCATCCGACTGGATGGCTTAATTCTTGGAGATGAAAAGTCCAAATATTGTCACCAGTGGCGATCGAACCGGCAACTTCAAGAAGTTTAGTCAACCATTTGCCACTAGGATAGTCTTTATAAAGCAAAAACGGTGGGTTTTAGGGGAGGAGATGGGCTAATCGGTTGGGCTAAGGTAGGTCTGGGTTAGGGCTTTAATTGCCGGTGGGCTAGATGAATTTTCCGATTTTCGCCCCAGTTTATTTACACTTCATCCCTTTGCTCAATTCAGTCCTTTTCTCTTGTTTTCTTCAATTGAGTCCTCTTTTCGGGATTTCCTTCTTCATTTTTGTGCAAACTCTTCTCCTAATAGTGAATGGAATTAAGAATTATTTTGAACATTTTAAATTTTCTATTTTTTTATATTTCCCTTATAGATTTTTCTTCTCTTTTTTCTTCTCTTTTTTTTTTTTCTTTTTCTTTTTCTTTTTTGACCTTTAGACATTTTTAGATTTTTCTCATATTTATTTACGAAAATCAATCATCAATTAACCATCAACGAGTCATCAATCATCAACTAGAATATATAAAAGCTTAGTGCTCTTAACTCCTAAAAATTACCTTGAATCGTGCTCATTTTATTGGGTTTTGTGACATTCCTTACACTTTTTCAAAGGGGTTAAATCCCCATTTTGATCCATGAACTATTATACGGACCCGATTTGGTTCTTGAATTAAAGAAATCCTTGATTTGATCCCTAAACTATTGTACAGACTTCGATTTGGTCCCCACTATTTATAATTTGGCCTAAGTTGGTCCTTAAACTATTGTACGAACCCTCAATTTGATCTTTACTGTTTACAATTTTGCCCCAATTTGGTCCCTGAGCTATTATTTAACAGAAAGACCAAATTGGGGCTAAATTGGTAAACAGTAGGGACCAAATTGGGAATTCATATAATAGTTTAGGGACTAACTCTGGGTTCATACAATAGTTTATTGACCAACTCAGGGTCCATACAATAGTTGAAGGATCAAATTAGGGATTTATTTAGTTTAAGGATCAAATCAGGGGTCTGTACAATAGTTCAGGGACCAAAATAGGGATTTAACCTTTCAAAGGCAAAAATATGACATAAGGACCTGAACTTACACAAAATTCACAATTTTAGACCCAAACTTCAATTGCACTCAATTAAGGTCTCGAACT